TATTTAAGTCATTCTCCGAGGAGTTTCTTAAGTTGACATCTCCAATATCGCTTGCTATCGTAGCGAAGTGACCTGCTAATATTTCCGCAACAGTCTCTTGGTTGCTAATGATCTTGCCGTCAACTTTTAAGTTAATATCAGTTCCCAAGACCCCTTTCTTAGATCCAAGAAACGGTTTAAAAGTTTCAAAGAACGTTCCTGGGTTTTCTTTAAGGTCAGACGTCTTTTTCTTCCAGTATTGCCGTACAGCAATTCTTCGTTGTCTGGTTGCCTCATTTCGACATTTCACTTTCTCTTCCCAGTTTTGTTGTGTCCTTTCATTTAGATACTTCTTAAAAGCTCTTCTCTTTGCTCGGATGGCATTTTTCCATGCGGTCGTCATATAGGGTATGTCTTTATCCCTAACTCGCTTCTTTTTCTGAGGGAAGCATTCGTCCATAATGTCTTGCATGATTGTATTCCAATAATACACCTTGTCCTCAACATCATCAAACAAGTTTCCGACATGCCAAGGTGCCGTCATTAGTAGGTTGTCATATTTCACCGGATCAAAATTTTTGTAACTCCTGAAATGGATGATTCTACGTGAATGTTTCCTCGCTTTTTCTTTCATTATACCATAGATGAGCATATGATCACTTAGAGCAGGGTCGTAAACTCCTCCTCCAATGAACAGGTCTGGTTGGTTGGTCAGTAGTACATCGATAAGCGTGGCTGTTGTTGTTGTTCCGTTTCTATCCAGTCTAGTTGGCTGCTTTATGAGACATTCAAAGCCCTGCACCATTTCGAGGTCCAGGAGTAATTTGCCCTCCTTTCTCTGAGGCCTTAGCCTATCTAGGTTAAGGTCACCAATGACAGTCACTGCTTCTCTTTGAAGCGACGCCCAAGTACAAATGTGGTCGGTACACTCCTATATATGACATCATTTCCTGCGAAATGTTCTATTGTTCTCTGTAACTAGCGAATCAGAGAACCGCTTTAAAACGGTGCAAGTCAACCGACAAGCAGACGACTGATGTGTTTAGACAAACACCCGGTCGCAACTGGGCCTACACAAAGTATATTTTCAACGCTGGAAAAATGTATTAGGTGATTTACTTTCAATTATCAATTCCTGTAAAGGATACTACTAATCCCTTATCACACCACGCATTGGCTTGGTCAAACTTTTTCAACTGAATGCAGGCTCTTGCACCTGTAAAGGCATAAAGTACAGACGTCACCAACAAAACATTTTTAATGAGCTGCAGATGACGAAATTAATAATGATTCGTAGTTTTTACAATAAAATTAAATGAATTAAAATCAGATGCTGAAGCTACCCAACAGATTTGAAGGATTAATCTTATTTCTGCCCTAAAAAGAATTCAACTATAAAAATATTAGTAGAGATCTCTGAGTTAAAGGGTGTTATTTACGCCATGTTCACACTATATCGGATGGCTTTTCCTGGCGCCACGTAAAGCCACCTGGTATAGCGTGAACATCTATCCGATATGTGACTCTTTACTTTAGAGATCGGCGCAGCTTCGCTCCGTCACATAAATCGCTCCGCCCCAACCATTTTTGTGTATGAACAGAAGCCTTATTATTGCATGCAACAATATCTATAATCAATTATGTGTTGTGGAATCTTTATTAATTAAGAAGTACATACCTCAACTTAAAAGCTTGTATTGTTTTAGCTTTAGGTTTAATTTTGAATTTCGGCATTTTTGTTATACTTTCCTCCAAATTCTTGTCACAATTATTAGTTTGTTAATATTCAGTCTCACCTTTCTGGCTAGCTCTCTTTATAAGTTCAGCGCTTTTCCGTCTCGTATTTCACATTTGATAATGGTCTTGAAATAAGAACCGAATTATTACGTTTATTTATTTTGTGTCATTTCTTCCTTATACTTATATTTAAGTCAGCAAGATGTTTTTCGGAGTTGTTTTTGTATTAAATTTTCTTCATTTGACGGCGGGTAAAGGTTACAGAAGCACTATCCAGTATGATTTTTGTGGCGGAGCAAAAGCTATCCGGTACAGTGTGAACATAGCATTAGTGATAGTGAAAATGACAAAATTGCCCAAAAATGGGCCGATAAACCAACAAAATGGACTTTTACAAGAATAATATGATCAAAGCAGGCAGAGAAGAAGGAATTGATGTTTACTGCAAAAATCGGGCATTAAAAAGTAATAGCTGAAAGGAATAAAAGTGGCGGCATTATTATAGGCCAGCATTATGTTGCGGAAGGAACATAATGGATTTTATGTTGGGACCAAAGATAAGCTTATCAGTAGATAAAAGCTAAGGAGCGGCATTGCGATAAGCAATTCTCTGGGTGGTCCCTGCGGTCTATTACACGGTCTTTTATCTGTCACGTGGAGAGACATCAGCTATGTTAAGGCTGCGACAAGTAAGTTCTTCCCCATTTTCTGCGAACAAGCTCAGCGAGCACATCTCAGCGAAAGTGAAAGTCTATCGCTTCTTATTTTTGTTCCCAGTTTATCAGGCAAGTTTCAGCATTTTGTCCTGTTTTTTATTTACTTCTTATTGTTTTTGGGTACATGGTGCCACCTCAAATTTTAATCTTGGGAACTCCTTTATTCGTCGTCTTGCTGGGTTTTTGCAGAAAATGGGGCACGAACACCTCATGGCCAAACTCTCATCTCTACGGTCCATACGTTTTCATGGTGTAGGTGGCCGCACAATTGCTAAGGTTTGGAAGTTTGATTTAGGCATAATTCGCCGTCTAAGTCCTGATATTATAGTGTTGGAGTTGGGTTCTAACGACTGAACCAAACTGCCGGCACAAACCGCCGGCTCGTGCAATATCTGCACGACGAGTTTAATGAGAAAAGTATTGTAGTATGCAAGGTTATTCGGCGGCACTCCCCTCAGTGTACTGCGTATAATTTAAAAGTTACCAAACTTCATTTGTATCTTAAGGCCGTTCCCGAACCCATACCTTACTGCTTGTACAAGTGACAAGTGAGGCATTTTTCTCTTATAGTCTGACTAGTGCCAATTTTACTTTTGAGTTATCGGTGCCCGACACATGGCATAGTTAGTGTACTTATTTTTCGGCGGCTATCACGATAGTGTGCCCAGTGCACTCAGGCCATTATAGGACGTTAGTCTTCAACATGTCCATGGACCATATCCTCTATATTTTGTTTGTCGCTTGAGACAGGCCTGTCAGAATTTTTGCCTCAAGTCACATGTTTATTTTGTGATATAGTGATACCCGACGCATACCTTTTGCGCCCGGTGAATCTCGGTGCGCTTATCTCTATTATTTTGTGTCCATGTATCATATATCCACAATTTTCCTCTATTGCATTCGGTTGCTTACACCAAAGTTTGGCCGGTTGACTGCAACCCGTTTATTCTCTTTACTATGCTTTGTTTAATTACTTATGTTAGTCATGCGTTGCTTGTCATTAATGTTGTGCGGTTTATTTAAGTCATGCCTCCTAAGAGAAAATCAGCTAGACAGGCGGACAGGTCAGCTGCCAAGATCACAGAACGAGCTACCCCATCCTCTAGTGCCTCGAGTGACCTAGCCGAGGTTTCGGCAGCGCAACAAACAGCTGAACCCTTGAACATCGTGGACTTAACGAGCGTGGTCACATTGGCAGTGACAGAGCCCCTGAAAGCTGTTGGAGTCGGGAAAACGACGCCATTAGCAAGTCCCCCCATGGTTAACCCAAGTCCTGGGTCTGTAGATGCCTCAGCCACAGTGGAGACCGCCGCAGCTGCCGAGATAGCCAGCATTTCATACCTGTCGGCTGGTATGTCAATATCAAATTCCAATGACAAACCTAGTGAAGTAAACTTCTCGACCGTAGCAATTGATTTGGACGCACGAGTGTCGGCTAAGCTCAAGGCAAAGATCTGGGCCGATGAATACATTGATTTTGGGGCGCTACTATCGTCTTTTCCCAACGATGATAAATTTATTCTCTCTTTTAACAATGACGGAACATCGTCAAGCCTTTGCCTCGAGCCATCCAAACCAAAGCCCAAGTTTTTTTTATGGCAGACGGCCTTTAATACCCGCTAAAGGTGGCGGCTTAGCTCAAATGTTGTGAAGTTGTCAGAGATATTGCTAACAAGTCGGGAAACTGGTGTTATAACGACCAGCAATTCCGCTATTTGCGTCAAACAAATCCAGAGAAATTTCCGTGGGACAGGGTAATGTGGGAACTTTGGAATCAGGCCATTCACGTAACATCAAAATCTCCACAGGATGATACACGGAATAAAAAACCCCAAACCCGGCCATTTCTGTCCTTTCCAAAGGGTGTGTGCCGGAAACTTCACTCTGACGAATTATGTGCCGGCTGTCGATTCAAGCACACGTGTTTTAAGTGTGGTGCCACGCATCCCGCAACTCAGTGTCATGCCAAGCCCAGTGTCCAGCATGCATCCTCAAGTGGAGAGGACAGAAAAGGACCCGCCTCACTTAAATTGCGGTCCAACTCCAGTAAAGCCGCACAGGCTGGAACCGCTCCTTAATAGCGACTTATCTCGCAAATGGCTTTCGTTCTGGTTTTTCTATTCGATATTTTGGGGATAAATTCAACTTTCGATCCAAAAATCTAAAGAGTGTGTTTTTGAAAACCCACGGGAAGTTACTGATAAGCTTAATAAGGAGGTATTGTCAGGACGAATAATTGGTTCTTTTTGACACGCCTCCCTTTGAGAATATTTGAATTTCCCCTCTTGGCCTGATTCCTAAAAAAGCTCCTGGGGAATTCCGTCTCATACATCACTTGTCTTTTCCGGAAGGTTCTTCTGTAAATGACGGCATTCCTAGGGAGCTATCTTCTGTACATTACGCTACTATAGATGACGCGATTAAGAAAATCAGCTCATAAGTGCTGGGTGTCTCCTTGCAAAAACTGACATTAAGTCGGCTTTTCGCATAATACCTCTCCACCCTCGAGATTTTGACTTGCTCGGTTTAGAATGGGAGGGTAAATTCTATTTTGATGGTTGCCTTCCAATGGGTTGTTCGTCTTCGTGCAACATATTTGAGACATTTAGCACGGCGCTCGAATGGATTGCCACAGCCAAATTACAAGCTTCCGCTGTCATACATATCTTAGACGATTTTCTGTTTTTAGCACCTTCGCGAGACAAGTGTCATAGGGATTTAGATAACTTTATCAAATTGTGCAACGAGGTCGGAGTGCCTATCGCAGATGAGAAAACCGTCGGTCCCGCGACCTGTTTACAATTTGCTGGGATCACTCTTGACACAATTAACATGCACGCCCGTTTGCCGGAGGATAAGCTCGCACGTTGCCGGGGATTGTTAACGGAATTCTATAACAAACGCAGTGTAACCCTAGAGGAACTGCAGTCGCTTATAGGGTTATTGAATTTTGCGTGCTCGGCTGTCCTTCCCGGTCGAGCATTTCTCCGCAAAATGATTGATCTGACTAAAGGTGTGCCTAAGCCCTATCATCACATTCGTCTCACGAGACAGTGTAAGGACGACATTTTGTTATGGCTCAACTTTCTAAATTCGTTTAACAGGAAATCGTTTTTCTTATCTGCGAAGTGGCTCACATCTAGTAACATTAAACTTTATACAGACTCGGCGGGCTCTCTAGGCTACGCCGCAGTCCTAGGCAAACGTTGGTTTTACGGACATTGGCCGGATAGTTGTAAATTTCTGAATATAACCATACTAGAGCTTTTTCCTATTGTTTTGGCAACCGAGATTTGCGCAATCATTGTATTGTTTTCTTTTCGGACAATCACGTTTTGGTCGATATCGTCAATAAACAGACCTCCCGTGAACCAAAAATCATGGTCTTTGTTCGCAGACTCGTGTTAAATTGTCTCAAATATAACATTCTTTTCAAATCTAAACACATACCAGGCATTTTAAACCGAGAATGTGATTTACTGTCTCGCTTACAGGAAGACAAATTCCAGCTTCTGACGCCACACGCGGACGTTCAACCCACCCCGGTTCCGAGCAGCCTACTACCGCAGAATTGGAAGCTAACTTAAAACGCTTAATGCACTCTGCTATATCACTGGGGTCACGCAAAACGTACGAACAAGCATGGAATCATTTCTTAGATTTTTCCACCAGATACTGTGGCACAGCTTTCCCACAGCTTCCACTGAGTGTCAGTGATATAGTACTTTTTGTGGCCTATTTATCGGCCAAGAAATTTGCACCTTCTACAATGTCGACTTACATTTCCGCATTGAGCTATATCCATAAAATTGGATCTTTCTCTGATCCCACCAAAGCATTTGTTGTACAAAAGATCACGACTGCTCAAAGCAGGCTCTGCTCGAGACCGGACATACGGTTGCCTATCACTCGCTCTATATTACATCAATTGGTGCAGGCTTTAAATCACACCATCACGCCCGCCTATCAATGTTTCTCGTGGCTTTTTATGGATTTTTTCGAGTGGGTGAACTAACGATCAAGACCCCTGAGCGGCGACAATCCCTTCTCCAGTTTCAGTCCCTGTCTTTTCTAAAATCACGGAATAAAGTACAGGCCGCCAAACTTGTCATCACGGATTATAAACATAACACAACCGGGCGTCCTTTTTCCATAATTATTCACCGAGAATCGACCGTACACTGCTGTCCTGTTGACTTTTTACTACGCTGGTGCCGGATGAATCTTGGCACATGGTTTGATAACCATATGTCTATGAATACTCATATAGGAAAGGTGTGTAGTAAGGCATTTAGAGGGCTTTATAATAATAGGCAAATTTGGAAATATCTGTCTGCAGAATCGACAGTGTTTAATTCATGCGTTTATTACATCACATTTAGATTATTGCAACGCTCTTTTGTATAAGCTTCCGCAATATCAATATGACCGAATTCAAAAAGTTCTTAATGCTGCGGCTCGGGTTACATGCTTAATTCCTAAGTTTGCCCATATTAGTCCGGTATTTAACTTAGGGAACTTATTGGCTGCCAGTGAAATTTAGAGTACAAAACGTTAACTCTTACCTCTCACTAAAGCTTTCTGAAAATGTGGCTGTAATTCAATGGCAACTTTTGCATCATTCACTGTTTCAGAGTAATTGCCTATAAAAATAAAAAAACAGAACACACCGAGTAACAGCTCAGATAGGTTTAACAGAGCAAGGGGAGAGGAAACAATTAGCCTTACTTAGCAACTACTAACTACTTCGAAAGTTTCTGCGTGCACTATTTAATGATGCTAACCAGTTAATAGACCAAAAGGCGAGATTTTTTAAAGCTAATATATAAGAAGTCTTACCCAAATTAAAATGTGCTGCTGCCCTGTTACTGTACAGTTTGGCGTTAAGATCGTCATCTTTGCAGTTTACTTTAATCCCTTCAGTGTAGAAGTGAATGGCGCTGTTGAAACTCTTTTTGTTGTATTCATCGTTACCCTCATTCTTGTAAACCTCTGCAATTGCTACAAAGCATTCCAAACTTATGAAATTTCTTACCTTTAGCGTTAGATAGGGGACCGATCGTTTATTACGTCCACAAAGTGTGCTGTATTAAAACTCCCCCCCTCAAAATAATCACATATGAAAATTGTACCCCCCCCCCCTTTCAATAACAATATTTCAAAAACCCCATCCCCGCCCCCCCCAACCACCTGTACATAAATACACTTGTTCCTTCCCTTGCCCTCTTTCCCCACACATACACAGTCCCCTGGTAACTAGCCACCAAAACTCCGTCTGTGAAACTGTCAACAGTGCAGAAACAGGAAGCAA